AACCATATTATATATACTCTTTACACAACGTCCATCAAAGTACTTTATCTGCACAAGAGATGCGAGGCGGCGCATGGTATTTGGAGCCTTTATTGAGTGTATGTAATTATATGTCGACAATAAGAGCGTACCGGAAGTAGTTGGTTGACGTAGCACGTACTTTCAGTCTCATATATTCCCACCGTTTACTCTGAATCGCTCCACCACTGCACGAGTTCTCGTCCATAAAAACATTCCCAATCGTTCGATATACAGTTGCATCCTGTGGCCCCTTCAGTTCAACCACGCAAATGCAAGGATTCTGGGAAGGGTGTGACGGTGTTGAGTCTGTACTTGGACGCCAGCTGACTGATTTAGACTAAGCTGACGACATCGTCATGCTAGTCCCAAGCTTGGTTAGCTACAGTCTGTGGTGTCACGAGTGAGTGAGATCGTTACTTCGGCTACTGCGGTCGGCTTATTCGAAAACGCTGAAAAGACCAGGCTGTCTTCATGCCGCATCCCTGCCCAGGATGAGGCACTTCTAAGAATTAACTGGGCGTCAACTTGAAGAAGTAGACCGTTTAAAATACCTCGGAAAGAGGTTGCTGTTGAATGGACGAAGTAAGAACGACATTGTCTCTAGAATTGATGTTGCTTGTCAGGTTTTCTCAAGCCTTCGAGAGCGCCTATAGATCCAACGCGACATTTCCATCGTCACGATAATCTATATGCGCCGTGCATCCGTCCGGTCAGTCCGCCCCTACGGTTGAAAATGCTAGGCTTTGCGTATTGAAGCTGAGAGAAGACTGGGGGTATTTAACCACTGCTGACTGAGGAACATACTGCCCAAAGTACACCGGCTTCATCTCGAATGAGGCAGTCTGGACTCGCTGCAACAATATCGCGAGGATATATCTCAGGACATCCTGAAGTGATTTGAACACCTTTTCCGTCCTTCGTCACCCGAGGTTTGTTATATTGCCCTTGATTCGGCGCCGAAGCCCACCTGGAGGAGTTGAAGAGGAGGTGCACTCAAGACCTGGCTCGGCGAAGTCCGTCAAGGCATTAGAGCTGCTCTTGGAGCTTCGGCATTCGCTCTCCGTCGCTGGAGAAGAGGGTGAGTTAAGCTGTTCAGATCCGCTGCCGCAAATTGTCCCACCTGGGGAGGTACAATACATGAGATCGCCGAGCCCGACTGGATCAGGCATGATCACGGTCGAACCAAATACAAGTAAGCAAGTA